AGGGAAGAATGTCCTCTCCCCGGCATAGTAACGTAGCTCGTCGGCGGGAGAGAGACATCTGCCGCCAAGCACTTTCGCAGCACATCGGTAAGTCCACGTTCGCTCTATTCGACGGCAGGATGCTGACCACGAGTTGCCGAGCGATTGGGCATTATAGTAAGCCCTTCCGAGGTGCGGCTGAGCCCTCGAGCTCAGGATGGGTATGGCTGGAAGCCCTGCCCTGGGCATGAGAATACATTCTCGCTCCTATTCGCCAAGAACCTGAGCGACCACTCGATCAGCACGTATCGTCTTCTCTCGCGACAGGTAGGCAATACCTTCGAAGCTGTTCCCGCAGACGTGGGTGCTGAACCCACCGATCACATACCTCTGGTAAGTGGACGTCTTGTGGTGCAACGAATATCGACGCTGACCGTTCTTATGATCGAGAGGCCATCAATAGGATTTTCTGCTCAGATTAGCCGACTTCAGCAAGAGAATGAACTTCTTTCGGGACATATCCGGGAGCTGTCTGATGCCTTAGAGAATGAGGTCGATTGTAAGCTTCGTGTCGAGAAAGAGAAGGAACAACTGTATAAACATCTGCAAGCCGCCGAGGATAAAACAAAGGAACTTGTGGGGAAAGCGCGAGCTTATCAAGCACCGCTATTAAAATGCTTCGAAGAGCTAGACCGGACAGCGCCCATCCTAGCCGAGCTTCGTCGGATTGCAATGGAAGGCGTGGCGCCGGACTGATATGAAAGAGCCGCTACGAGGGTGTCTAAACGTTTCTAACGAGCGGTGCGAATGTCGACATGGCAAGCTCCGAAGGCAAAACAGCACTTTCTCATGCGACAAGGAAATTATTTCGTGTCTTCTACCAACACGCGGGGCAGATCAGGCCCTCCAGCACATGAACTAGACGGTTTTTAAGTGGTACATAATGTAGAGACATGTCCGTTTAAATAGCTAAAACTCATTCTAAGCTAGTCAATGATGATAGGATTTCTCTTATTCTGCCCCTGACCCTCGTGGTTACTCCCGTCTCGCTTCCGTTTAACACCTTGTGCTACATTCCAAGACTTAAAAAGTCTTACAGTCGAAAAATGACCCTGAGAGCGCGCATACCATTCGGGAGTGCGTTTCCTCCGGTCCTCGAAGTTAGGGCTTTGATACTTTAGCAATAGCTCAACGGTCTCAACGTGACCATAGTACGCTGCGAGAACCAACGACTGTTCTCGTTGCTGCCGATTCGCATAGGGAAGGAGCTCATTAACTAGTCCTGCATGCCCACGTGCTGCGGCACAGGAGCAGATATGAAGTAAAGTTGGCCAGGAGTCAAGGGTGAGAAACTTTGAGGTGAATCTCTCTCCAAGATGCTTGCTTGCCTGCTCAATGTATGAGCGCTGGGCGCGGATGCCGTGTGCGTACATAACCTCAATGGCGTCGAATTTGCCAGCTGTGAAAGCGATCTCGAGGGCTGTTTGACCGTCTGCGTCCAGGACATCGGGAGAGATTCGCCCATCATCGAGCAACATCTCCACTACCGACGCCGATCCGTGTCTAGCAGCGACGTGTAATGCTGTTCGGCCGAGAGGGTCCGTCATGCTGAGATCAATACCACTTGACGTGATTAAAAGCTTGAAGATTTCCTCGTTTCCAGATTCGCAGGCTAGGAAAACAGGTCGACCGTAGTCTGTGTGTCGAACGCCGTTGGGTTCAATGTCGTCGCATTCGAGAAGCTTGCGCACCACATTTGTTTGGTCGTTGCAAACTGCCAGGGTGAGAGGCCTCCGCGAGTGGCGCCCGTTTCGCATGTTCACATGAGGGCCACCAATTTCAATTAGTGCCAGAGCAATACTCTCATGATCTGCTTCAATCGCACGAAGAAGTGCTGTATCACCATCGCAGTCTCGAGCGTCAGTCCTAAAGCCTTCGTAGGCTTGTAAGAGTCGAATCTGTCGCATATCCCCTCGCTTAGCAAGGTGAGGCAGACAAGACGTCCCAGATCGCTGCACATTGCGACGTAGGAGATACTGCTGAAGTAGCCGAGACATTGAGCGATTCGTACGGCTTAAGTAGCTTACTTGGCGCTCCGAGAGGTAGTCGCAGACTCCCAGCCATAGCTCAGGCGGAAGCCAGCAGGTCTTTTTCGGCCGCTCGGCCGAGCTCTGTCGTAGTGGTTGTTGATTCATCTAGTAGGCAAGCGCTGGTCAAGCAGGAAGGGGATGAGTTTCCGAGGATGAAAGGAGAAAAAAGCACTCGATCCTGCGGATGGGAGGAGGCTCTTTATATATTTCCGGGTCGGGCTAAGGCTATCAAGTAAGCAGCCTATAACTCCTGCGAAGTTATGCCGTACTGTCCTGCCAGGCGTCCAGCTCTGCCGTGCAGGAACGCCCCCTAGGTGTGACGTGGTGTATGAGAGCCTTGGGGATATCCATGTCCAGGCACTGTGTAATAACTACCGCTTTAGATAGGGGAATCCGGTGAGGTCCTCCGAATACTGCTCGAAGTTGGCAGCGAGCGCCGGTCTGTTCCCTGACTATGGAAGCGCATCGGGCCCGCGGAAAGTGAGCGGACCGGCTCAGTATCTAGCAGCAATGTTTGGTCGAAGCTCGGGATCAAGTGACTTGTTGTCGAGAGGGGTAGTGTGAGCGTGTTTTCAGGGGACTCGTCAATGAGTACTGAGCAGAAGTCCGTCTCTCAGGAGGGCAGTTGTATGTGTTGAGTGAGACTCTCGGACGCATGTATTGAAGTTCAGCAGGGCAGTGTCAATAGGTGAACGCCTCAAGACAATGACGCTTTCCGACCGAATGGCCCCATGGTACATAGCGAGGCTATGTAGGTGCTGTAGCGCGTCGAGAATCTGCCTGAGCACCGCCTTGAATTCGCTGTACGTTAATAGGTTTTTGTTATGCTCATCGAACAGTAGCCGGCCGTCGGAGTAGGCAAAGACGAGACCATACTCGCGGTCATAATCGTGGAAGGAAATGAAGTGATCCTATAGAAGTAAGTATTAAATCTAGTACTCTCCCGTACTGTATAAATACGCACATTTTAAATGCTGCTAAGGGAACTCGCTTCGCGATCAGCCTGGTCCCGTCCCCGTGACGAGTATCGCTTGTTAGTCAACAGTAAACGTTGGCGAGTGAGACAGTATATTCGGCCTTGTCGCTTAAGTCGCCTCGCGAACGCGTTACACTCGCGCTATATGGTTTGCTTTTCAGGCGGGATGTAACGCCAGATAGCCTGCATTTAACTCCATGATTCCCGGGAGCGAAGGCATTATGTGTACCAAAAAAATAATGGCATTCGAATACCTCTGCCTAGGTGGGTGGGATGTGCGGGAGGGAAAATCGCCATTGCTTTTATCCACTAAAAGCAGCAGAGCGCTGGGTGTTAGCGTTAGCCCTTCAGGTATGGGAGCGAAAAATACACAACAAGCGGGCCGCACACATCACGTAATTGCTATTATGAAAAGTCCTAGAAATTTAATTAAAAAGGGAAAACGCACTTCCTGTATAGGGATTTGAACCTTAAGCCTCTATATCTATAGAAATAATAGAAATCATCTGCATATACAGCGTGAACAAGGTCAGCAAAAAGTGAAGCTGTCGCGAGTGTCAGTTATGAAGACTGACAAGCAACCCATAAAGAACCCCTCACCCGGTGGCGAATTGGAGGGATTTTTTGTATCATCCGGGACTGCGTGCGGGCCAGCCACTGAGGAATCAACTTCTAGCCTTGTACAGAGGCTTCCAGATGTCCTGCTTCCTAGGTATTCACCTATGGTAGTTACCCCAAAGCAATTGTTCTAAGGAGCCAGCATAGGCTTCAACCACTGGGCCACGGAGGACACTGGGTCATGCTAGGAGGCGAGTAATTTTATCATAAATACTAATCCCAGAGGTAAAGTCTCAAGTTTAAATACAGCGCAGCTTCCTTCATCGCTCCCGGCACATATAACCGGATTGCACTGCGCACTGCATGATCGTGGTTGATATTTATTGGCACGGCGACAGATCTCACTATCTCTAATTATGGGATAAACTGTATAGAATAACAGCATAGATGGACTAGCCGTTTCTTCCTGCTTGATGCCTAGGACATTGTCTTCCTGCTTGAGGACCGAAGGCCGTTTCTTCCTGCTTGGGGCCCGGGATATGGCCGTTTGGAATCCCTTGAGTCTTCAAGCCGAGCACGCTTTGACGAAGGCGAAATCTGGCTTACGGGACATGGCCGTTTGGAACTCCGTTGGAGTCTTCAAGCCGACCACGCTTTGACGACGGCGTACGCCTTGTCGTTGTCGTCTTCGACAGTGCATTAAGGCATAAGCGGTTTCTCCCACACCTAACCCAACGAGAGAAACCGCGATCATGTCCCAGAAAAGGGGATGCGCAGGTCAATATGTTCTGCATCGGGCCAAAGCGAGTGGGTAGCAGAGACAAGCGACGAGGATTATGCACCGCTGGTATAGAAAGACCTTCAACCCCGCAATTGTCAGAGCGGGCTTCGAATGCGGTATTGGCTGGTGTGGCAGCTGGGCCCATGCTGACGGTTCCTCATAAAATCCTTCCTCGATCGGCCGTTGTCGCCAGCTCGTGGCTCTGCTGACTTTCACCCGGATCGTAGCTCTCGACTTGCCGGCGTAAAGTCTACGAATTCATCGTCAGCTGTATTCAAACCCCCAGATCTCGGGCTATCTTACCATGTTGCGCGAGGAGACCCGAAGAAGAGAAACTTTTAGTTGTGTAAAGGCGAGGTAGAGTCCGATGAGCCCGATCGCAAGGGAAACAGTACCGAAAATCACGGCCGCGATTGTTGAGGCATCCATTTCCAGAGCTCTGCTTTGCATTTTGGAACACCAGATGAGTTTGTTGAAGCCTCCGACACATGAGCCAGTACCGACATGCCAGGACGTGTTTTTAAAAGGAGATTTTGAGAGATCTGATGCTGCATTGTCAGTCCTCACCGACGGTAGACATCCGGAGTTTGCCATGGATGACTGCATCGCAACTGCACCGTCTGCACGTTTCCGAGATTAAGCCTCTCGTTTCTTCAAGCCTTGCACCTCACCGACTTGTGTTTGCTGCACACAGCCGTGTCTTGCGCAGCATCCGCTGTACAAAAGTTTGAAGTTGATGGTAATTGAAAGAACCCTTGGTGAGGCTGACGGGTCGGAAAAGCGTTCAACGGGAAAAGGATCCGGTGTGGGATTCCTGTTGCCCTCACATCCTCAAGTGCAACTCATTTTACCGAGGTCCGCGCGTCAGGAACTTTCACGGACGCTGACTCGTCGCCAATGCCAGGTTCCTGCTTCGGCTTCAACCTTGCTATGCGCCAGTTGGCTGTCTCAATCAGTATTCTAGGAGGAAGGTTCAGGCACATGTCGGCAGCGTCTTTCGCAAGTCAGCCAGCGGCTTTGCTGCCATTGCTGCCAGGGATCGTGACGTGCCCTGCCGCTTATAGATGATCCTCGGGCCAGCTTTGTCACCGGCGACGAGTCTGATTCATACTCAGCAATGCTGCGCAGGCCGGCTTCGCCAGTATGCCATGCCATTACGGAATCGGCCACGTCGAGCTGTGCGCAACATCTACTGGTCACAAGGCTTTCGCGTCTGAGCACATATACGAAGGGCGGCTCTCTTGGTCATACATACAAGATTATGCCAAATAAGTTCGAAATACTTCTAGACAGTCTGTGCAAGATGACAGACTGGATGGAAGCAACAGCGATGCAACCATTTTCGCGCAAGTTCGACGTACGCGCAGTGCAAAAAAAATTACTGTTATCTGGCAAGTAATGCGTATTATTCTGGACAAAGAGACTACGAGCTTCAGATGTATCCTGCCATCTTGTGGAAGTTGACGCTCAGGACAAAACTTGTCCACCGATCAAGACGGAGATCGCCTGGCGCGAGGCTCTGCCTGTAGATCTCCTCGGCGTCCTCGTACTTGCCCTGTTCCTCGCACAAAGAGCCCAAAGCGTCGGCGACCGTGCAAGACGTGGCGTGTTGCGGCCCTCCGACCGACCGCGCGCCGTCCCACGCCTGCCGGTACATCGCTTCCGCCTCCGCCAGCCGGCGCTGGCCACGGAGAAGGTTGCCGAGGCCGAAACATGCCGCGAACGACATCGCCGAATACTCCTCGTT